CAATTGCAAAGATTTTGGGACTTTTCCTCAGCAGAAAGGGACAGTTGTCACACATTACTTCTGTGTTAGAAATCCGTTTTCTGGAAGACTTGTGATAGAAGTTCATTCAAAAGTACGCACTTTAATTGGCACTCAACATGCACTAGATGTGGTTTTCACCCCTCTAACTGACTTGGCAAATGCAGGCACCACATGTTCTGTAGGCTTCTGTTACCTTTCTTTTCATCTCTGCTTCATGATTGTGTGATGGCATGGAGACGGAGCTTGATTCAGCCACCCATGACAACAGAGGCGTCTCTCCAATCAACAATGGAAAGGTGTAAAACAGTTTGAGTAAAATTAACAGCAAGAAAATAATGAGGCCCTCTGGGTATCCCATCACCCCTTCCTTGCTCTCCTCTCCACGATTCCCACCTTTCTCTTGTGATCGTTACCTCTGTGCCTGTCTCCTCAAGAAACATGCTGTGCGTGTTTTTTCACTTTTTCATCTGTCTCTCCCTCTCTCTCTCTCTCTGTCTTATTTTTCTGCTTCTTCACCAACATCTCAAAAATTCCTTTGCTTCCGCGAAGTGTAACTTCTCCAAATTTCTCCTCTTCGAATTTATCTTCTTAAAATTCTTTTGTTCCTCTTACACTAATTGTTATTCCACTTTTCTTCTCATTATTCAGTGATTTTCTCATTTTCATTTTTCATGCAGGTTTTGCTTCTTATTATATTTCTGCTGATGACCTTCAAAACATTCTCTTTGTTACAGCAAGTGACGCTCAGTAAGGTTTTGAAAGCAGTGCTTAAATACCGCATATTTTGTTACTGTCAGTGTAGTTTAGAAGAAACAGAGCACAAATGCATCTCCTAACATCTTTTAACATTTAAATATAAGCTGTTCGGAAAGGAAACAGAGTCGAATTTGTGTTGGGTAAACATGTCTATTGTCAATACAACCCCTACTGTGAGACTTCACCATAATGATTCATATAACATGGAGCGTGAGCGGTGAGATTTCGGGGTGCGTGGGTCGCACGGATCACGGTGCAGGGGCAGATGGTGACAAATGGACATTCATCCTCCCTGTCTCTGTCCTCTAGAGGAACTCCCCAGGGGGAAAATGCACTGGAGGCGGGAAGCAGAAGCGAAGCCATTGTGAAGGGGAAGCTGTCAGGCACTTCCTGTTATGAGAGGAAATGCATACAAATGTGTTTCCTGACCTCCCCCCTCCAACTCCCCCTCACGCACGTGCACACACACACACCAAACTCAGGCTGGGAATCGGACCTTTTTTTCTCCTTTCTCCCTTTTTATTCCTTCTGTTTGGCAGTACAAAGGGATTCTCAATCCTTTAAACAACAGTTCAAACTCACCTCACCGTTACGTGCGCAACGGCACATTTAAGTCTACGTACTCGGCAGTTTGTTTGTCATGCATGACAAGAATGTGCTCACATGATAAGGGCTTCACACTTCTGTGGTCTACAGGTTCAGGGTTCGAAGAGACAAAATCACAATCGTTATGAACCGTGGTCCGTCATTTCTTGCAGCTCTCACCACATCGTGGAGGTGTTGCAACTGGCATTTTCTGCAATTAGCACGCTGGCTCGCTGAAGGCTCATGAGCTTCACAGATAACAAGGAATGAAATTGTGGAGGCAGGTAGCGAGCAGGAGAAGCGGGAGAACATCACACTTAAGGCCCTTGTGACTACATTATTCTGGCATGTTTCATATATTGTGAACTTTGTACCAAAACACTGATTTTGGAGATAATGTGTAGGAAATCATTTGCTTTGAGTTCTTCATCAGATGAGATAAAAGAAGTAATTTCAGCTAGTATTCAGTCGTGTGATATCTTTTATTAGGTTACTGGTTTGAGTATTTCTCTCATGTTGAGTGGACATGATTTTAAACAGATGTTCCACTCATATTTTGGGGTGTAAAACTTAATAGGATAGTTTACCCCCCAATAAAAACATTCTCTTGTCATTTACTCAGCCTCAACTTTCTTTCTTCTACAAAACACAAAAGAAGATTGAAGAAACTTGAAGAATCGCAACCAAACAGTTTTGGTTACCATTGAGTTCTATTGTCAAAATTTCAGAAATATATTTCATAGAAGAAAGTCAGATAATGACATGAGGGTGAGTAAAGGATGACAGAATTGTCTTTTTGGGATGAGTCTCCATTAAGGATCTAACACCTTTCACATAAATGTGACCCTGGACCACAAAACCAGTAATAAGGGTACATTTTAAAAAATTCGACAATATTTTGCCGACATACAGCTATTTGAAAATCTGTAAATGTTGACAAAATCGCCTTTAAAGTTGTCCAAATGAAGTTCTCAGCAATGCATATTACTAATCAAAAATTAAGTTTTGATATATTTACGGTAGGTAATTTACAAAATATCTTCATGGAACATGATCTTTACTTAATATCCTAATGATTTTTGGCACAAAAGAAAAATGTATAAATTTGATCCATACAATGTATTTTTGGCTTTTGCTACAAATATACCCCAGTGACTTAAGACTGGTTTTGTGCTCAGGAGTCACAAATAGGAATATACCTGAACTTGAGTAAATTAATAGCAAAGAAAAATTCTAAGGAAACTTTTTGGATTTTATGGACATCAAAAGAATATAAATGGCATTGTAAAAAGCCTCTGATGAAGGATTTGTGAAGTATCTTTAGTATGTAGTGTTAGTGTTTGACTGTGGGTGTTGATGTCACTGGCCACAGTTCTTAGCTTGACCACAGTGATTATTTAAAGTCCTTATATCTCCATATCTGACTATCTGTGTGATACTACTTCCTCTTTCAGAGAACTGCCCTGCAAATTGCTACATTTATTTTGGATGTGCGAATTAATGACTGACTTTGTTGTTTGTTTTTCAAATAATCCAAAATTCAAAGTCTTTTCATCAAACACACTGTTCAGCATTTACTTTTCTCAACCTGCTGTCATACTGGAGGTCAAATCATTCAAATGACAGGTTTTTGGCTTATTCTTTTCGCATCTTGTCACACTTGCCAAATCTCCAGAAGCCTCAAGAAGAAACCTCTCAGAACTGCTAAGTCACACTATAGAGGCTTTCTCAGGAAGCGCGGAACTCTCATTTTGGCTTTATCTAGCAGAAAAGGGAGCTGTCAAAACATCAGTTGTGTTGTTTAAGTGCCTGTTCAACTTGTCAAAATGATACATAATCAATACTTCATTAGTTCTCTCATAGATTACTGGAAGTATGATGATGGAGGATGACCAGCAGGATGAGAATCACTACTATAACTTTTGTAACTGTAATCTCTGAAGATTGAGAAAACACTGTCAAACAAAATTGGTGAAATGCAGTTCAAGTACACAAACACACACTGTGTGGTGACAGGACAGTTTACCCAAAAATTTAAATTATTTCATCATTTACTCACCATAATATTATACCAAACCTGCATGGGTTTCTTTATTCTGTGGGGCACAAACTAATTCTTAGAATTGTGTTTGTTTGTTTATTTATTTATGACCCGATTGACTTTTATTATATGGACACATTTTTTTTCAAAATAACTTTTAAGTGCTCTGCAGGTGAAAGAAAGTCATACGAGTTTGGAACGACATGAGAGTGAGTATATTAATTCTTAATTTTGGGGGGAACTATCCCTTTAAGTGGCTACTTCTACTTTTCTGGTTGATTCAGTGATAATAAATAATGTTTTTGACTTGATTTAAACCAGTTAATTTAGATGTTTCCACATAAAGTATCTGTTTAGATTACCTGACAACAAATGTTTTTACAGTACACTATAATATGTTCCTACCTGTTATTTAGACTTTACCCATATATTTTTTTTATTGTAACTAGGGCTCGTTCTTTATTTATTTTTTTATTTTTTTTTATTATTTTTTTCACTTAACATACCAGATAAGCTAAATAGTTTCACCATGACAACGTCAGAAACAAGTTTGCAGCATCAAAGAATGCAATACCTTATGCTAATACATGCAAATTCTCTTGGTGATTGTCACATGCACAATATATTTTGTAATGTAATGCACTTTCGTTATGCAATAAATAAAGGGATATAGATTACTGTGAACATGTATCACAATAACAGGTGCATGGGGACATTTTGGCTACATTTAAAAGAGATGAAGAGTTTAGTGGTTTGGCCTCAAGGTTCCTTCTATATCATGAGCTGGTCTTGTGTGTGTGGTTTCTCGAGCATTGCATTTAAGTGCTCAAGAGACATGAAACCTATGAGGTCAGAGAGAGATGCTTCTTATTTTTAATGCTGCTAATTTAGATGAGAACATGCACTGAGAAGTCATTAACAGCCTCTCAAACACTCCGTGGCAGCGATGATCTTTGTGCGAGTGAGAGTGTGCATGTGTTTTTATGTCTGTGCATCTGCTGAAAAAGTGCATTTGCACACAGATGCACGCAAGGGCAATACAATCTTTCTATTTTTCTTTGTTTCCCCAGTTTACTTAAGACAAATATGGTTAACCTTTATTATGAAATGAAATTATCCTAATTATACAGTTGAACTTTTGTATTAGAGGGGCCAGACAAAGTTGGTGTTACTGTATTATTCTTAAATGAAAGGTTGATGCCTAATTTTGGAGGTTATATTTCAATTATTAAAGCTATTTTTTTCTTATGAATGCAAGAATAAGTATTTTACTTTTGGTTAAAGAACAGAGTTTTTAAAAGATCTTCAGTTGATTTATGAGAGGAAGGAGCTATTACTCTATTGTCTATTTTTCCAGATAATTTGGAAGAGCACAAAGGAAAATAAAGGAAAGTAGACAGAAGGAAAGAAAAGTAACATTGATTTTCAGAAGAAGCACTGTATTTAGGACAACTTTAAGAGTATCAATGCACTGAGCAAACACACATAGAGTCATCCATCTCCGTTTTTATGCCACCAGCCAATGCTTTGTGCTACGCCGTCAGTACAGCCTGTGACTTGTCTAAGCTTTTTCCCCCTCTTCTGTATCTCTCTCTAGGTGACGTTTACAAAGAGAAAGTTTGGCCTGATGAAGAAAGCCTATGAGCTGAGCGTGTTGTGTGACTGTGAGATTGCCCTCATCATCTTCAACAGTACTAACAAGCTGTTCCAGTATGCCAGCACAGATATGGACAAAGTGTTGCTCAAATACACTGAGTACAATGAGCCACATGAGAGCAGGACCAACTCTGACATTGTTGAGGTGAGTTTCTCAGATCTCCATACACTTACCTGACATTCTCACACTAGTCAGCAGGGCATTATATTTTTTAATAATTAAAAATATCTTACTGACCCCAAATATTTTAAAAATAGTTGTTTTTTTATGACATGTCTGACAAATTTAATGAACATTAATTATTGACCTGATAAACATTATGTAATTTAGTGGCTGTTTGAAATGAAACACAAAGTGTTACATAGGAAATGTAGATTGTTATATTGGGGGTCCTTTAGGCTGGTTGAAATCTTGTCCAGTGTGTTATGTATCATGTTTCAATAGACTAAATGTATCATTAACATGTGATTTTGACTAGGATTCCTTGTGCATAGTGCCATTGCATTCTTATTTTCAGCCCTTATTTTCTTATTTTTCATGGAGAGACTCTATAGACACAAACCCAAATGACTGTAGATCATGCAGCACCTCTTTTGATTGTAATTATAAAAAGAACACTAACCAAATGCATCCAATATCATGCTGTATTTCATTTCACTCTGTTCTTTTTGAATGCCAGCTACTTTGATGTCTGCATTTTCTCAATCAGCTTAATGCTCCTAAAGGCTCTCACGTCTTAGAGACATGTTGTCCGTGGGTTCCTGCCATAAACCCAAGGCCAGGCCACGCTAAGCTATTGTAGCTGTCTTGAGGCAAACATCCAAAAGCATGTTACAGAGTGAGCTGCTATGTAATCTACTTTTCTGAGATGTCACAACACATCTTAAAAAGCAAAGGTGACATATACGTGGGTTGACAAGGTGGTCCTACTGTATGAAGGACTTAAGGGCTCTAAGACAGTGTCCTCTTTACATGAACAACAACAGGTTCACATCTACGTACAAAGTTAATATCCCTAGATCTATGGGTGAGTTTGTGAAGTGGGTTGATCACAATCTAAGTGCACTCCAACTCCTTTGCTATTAGAGTCAATCAGACAAAATGGGTTTTTCTACTTCCTTTTTTCTACTGACATATTGTCACAAGTCACATTCCCGCTCACTCTTGGTCCATCTTCATTTCCGCTGTAATTCGCTCAGTAACTCTGCAGCTTGATAATTTAGTTGTATTTATTTACATATTCAGCAAGTGTATTTCTGTATGTATACAGGTGCATCTCAATAAATTAGAATGTCGTTGAAAAGTTCATTTATTTCAGTAATTCAACTCAAATTGTAAAACTCGTGTATTAAATAAATTCAATGCACACAGACTGAAGTAGTTTAAGTCTTTGGTTCTTTTAATTGTGATGATTTGACTCACATTTAACAAAAACCCACCAATTCACTATCTCAACAAATTAGAATATGGTGACATGCCAATCAGCTAATCAACTCAAAACACCTGCAAAGGTTTCCTGAGCCTTCAAAATGGTCTCTCAGTTTGGTTCACTAGGCTACACAATCATGGGGAAGACTGCTGATCTGACAGTTGTCCAGAAGACAATCACTGACACCCTTCACAAGGAGGGTAAGCCACAAACATTAATTGCCAAAGAAAAAGCCAGTGTGGCATTTATAATTAATATATTGTTATTTGTTTTTATGTGCTAGGAAATATCATCTCAAATGCAAAGATGGGTTTTTGTAAATTCATTGATCATCTGTCATAAAGTGTGCAAAATGCTCACCGTTTTTGCCTCTTCTACAAGCTCAGACCTTGAGGCAGATTTAAAGGGCAGGTAGAAAGTGCTTGTTATTCCTGCAGTGCATCAAGGCACAATTACAAAAATGCTCTCCAAGCTTGAGCAGCTGTGCTAGATGAGGTTTACCATTTTGATGCATGAAGAATCTCATGGAGGACTGAATGTCATATGCTTTTCATGTGTATTACAGTCCACACTCCATGGCCAGTAGTTTAGAAACATAAGGAAGAATTTAATAAAGAAGATCCACTTTACACTGAAGTGGTGGTGTAATAATTTGTCAATGAAATTATTATTCATTTCAAATTAATAATAATAATAATTATTTTTATTATTACATATAATCTTTATTTGTTTTTAATAATTTGTTAATATAATTATAAATAAAATATTATATTAAATAATTATAATAATATATTTTCTTTTAATTTGATTATATACATTATTATAATATTAAATATTAATATTAAAATTTAAAATTTAAATAATAATATCTGTTTAGTTGTTTTAGTTTAGTTTATTTATTTTGCACAAGAATAAAACAAATACAATAAAAACAGAACATAAAAGTACAAACCATATACTGTGCTGGGAGAGGCAGAAAAACCAATGGGCTTATTTAAAGCCTCCACCTAAATGATAAAGAAAACAAAAACAACTCGTGAAATTAAAGAAAGAGCTCAATTATAATAAATATATAAATATAAATAACTACAAATTAATTACAACATATGTAAAAAAAAAAAACTATATAATCCAAAAACAAACCATAAAATGCATTTTTTTTTTAAAATCTGGAAAATGCACTGCTGTGTAACTCCATGAAAGCTATAAATTCCTAAAGGTTTTGTTGAAATATTAAGGTATATGGTGCAATATATATAGTTTTTAATTACATTACAATTCCAACATTACTTTCAAGAGTATCACAGGTCATGCTCACAATTTTAACAAAAACTCTTTTAGTTAGCTAGACCTGAAACGGTTTTTATGAGTTAGCTCTGAGATAAAAGTAAAATCATACTGGTATATATTTTTATTTTTCTAAACATTGTCGAACAACTTTCAGAGTGCTGAAATCGACTTAAAAAGCAAGTCCTAAACATCTTGGTTTGCTCTGCCGTGTGAAGACAGAAAATCACCACATGCAAACATCGAAGTGGAAAGAAAATAAAAAAGCGCATATAGCGAGTCAAACTGCTCCCATCACCAAGCAACAGCTTTAGTGGAGTTTCTTTCCAATTTGCCAGATTTGGTGTTGGAGAAATCGATTTGAAGGTGGCTAAAATGCCGCCCTAACTGGATTTGTCGACGCTGAAGTGCTGAGCTCCTGCAGGGCCCCGTTTTTCTGCTGCTAGGTTACATCACGGCCAGGGGATGTGGGCGGTAGGAGGTAAAGAAGAACAAAGCAGACTTCCTGTTGTGATGGCAGGATGGGGACGAGGCCTTGGGGTGGGCCGGAGGGGGAACTCGGCATAGGGGTATCAGTGCCATAGTTCAGCTTTGAGCTGTAGTGTGTGTGCGAGACATGTTAGACAAACACATATATCGGCTATGGACCGTCTGCTGTACATACAGAGATTTAGCATCGTTTAAACGGACTGAAAACACACACACACACACACTCATAGAAAACACATCTTTCCTGTCTTTGCCTGGAGTGCCGGTGGGGTGCAGTGGGAGGATAAGGAGAGGCAGGGGGGCCAGGCGCAGCGTGTGGGCGTCTTGAAGAGCAGCCCGCTACATTAGCAATAAAGCTCCATGTAATTAGCATGTCTTTGGTTGATAATTAGCGTTGTTGGGAGAGAGGCAGTGAGAGGCTTGCCCAGCCTCTTTAGCTCTGTTTATGAGAGGCTAGAGGCTCTTCTACCCTACTCTACTCTCCCTGGCTCTTTCTTTCCGCTCATGTCTTCTGTTTTGATCCATTTTTATCTCTGCTTTCGTAGGTCAGGCCATTCTCCCATTCAGCCGAAATGTACGCAGATGTGCCTTTCTCAATTTTGCTTTAACGTGAGAAGAGAGACATGAAAAAGCAAGAGATGAAAACTTTTTCAGTTGTTGATAGATTTTTAAAAAATATTGTCAAAATGATATTTACACTTTGATTTTATAAATTTTTTTACAAGACAAAATGGTGATAGACTCATAATTAACCAGGACCTTGGTAACTAAAAAAGCAGGGTCAAACTAATCAACAAGTGTGTTCGTTGTTCGTGGTACATTTTTTCAGTTTTTACATAGCTCTTCATACCTCAATCAAAGCACCCTTCCTAGCATGTTTAGCTTAAATACAAAAACTCATTAAAAGTCTCCTACGTCTTAACATCTGAGGCTAGACAAAAGGTGGGAAAGTCCAGATAATTACACCTTAAGTCATGAAGAAAGAACAGATTACAAGTGCTTGTGTAAGGTAAAATTATCTAGTTTTAGGTTAGCAGGGGGTGGGGGGAACATCACAAACACAACAACATGGTTTGGTTGTCAAAATGCTCTCATTTGTTGGCACAGATACTATGCAGCGTTTATTTGGCAGGAGATTAAAAACTTAAACAACCATAGGTTTCCCATAATGCACCGTGCCAGACCAGTTTCCCCAGCATGTGTGGAGCATTAGAGCTCATCTGAGTTGTTTTTTTTTTTTTCGGGGTTTTTTTACAACTGTTGAGGGATAATTTGCATTGATACTCATCAAAGTCTCTGTTTCATTATTATTCAGTTTAATTTTGTATTACATGAAATCAGTAAATTAATTAATTATAAAATATAAAAATAAACCATACTATAAAGCATTTTATAAATAAATAAATAAAACATATGCATTCATTTTATTATTTTTATGTATTTGTTATAATATACTGTATAGAATCAGTAAATGAATGATGCAAAATAATATATTTTTTTATAAAAATATATTACAAATGTATATAATTGTAAACAGCATTTTATATATAAAATATCAAATCAGTCAAGTAATGAATTATGTAAATATTACATACATTTTTTTTACAAAATGTTATATAAATAATTAATAATTTTAAATAACAGTTTTATTATAGAAAGTAATTTCAGTAAATTAAAGAATAATGTAAATGTAATATAATAGTTTATATATCATTTTCTATAACATTTTATTACTTAAACATATAAAATCAGTAAATTATTGAGTAATGTCACTGGATAAAAATGATTAATTAGTAATCACTGTTGTTGTGTTTTTTGCAGCACAGTTATTAAAGATTAGGCAAAACCAAGAGAGATTAGCATGACTATGAAAGAAAAGAAGCACGTTGTGGCTGCATGCTTTACTCATGTCAACACTCCCATCATCACGTGGAGCGGT